TTTCATAACTCAGGTGCTGTATGTTACGGAATCAGCCATCTATAGGATGCTTGTCAGTGAGAAAAGAGAGCAAAGGGTGCTCGAGAGAGAGAGAGAGAGAGAGAGAGTGTGTGTGTGTGTGTGTGTGTGTGTGTCTGTCCACACAGCCCCAACCAGGTGTGCATGCACATGGAAGGCAAAGGTCCTTCATGCATTGCTATTTGTGGCATGGATCCTCTACATGAGTTCAGACCTTCACATTGTGCCTTTTTCTCTTCACACATCAGCTTTACCATTTTTATTTTGATGACAATTATAGGTCCTTAAGACATTTCTGTACTGAAGTGTAGAATTTGAGTAGTTTGGCAAGGTTCAGACATGTGCAGGAAGTTTTGTTTGGGCAAAATTCAGAGCCTAGACTTAAGTCCTTTGCCTGGTTGTATCCCTTGGCACACTCATGTGGCCCAGGCTTCTCCATATTCTGAACTATAGTAAATCCCAGATATGAGAGTTCAAGTATTTGTTTTTAACCTATATTTCCTTCTGAATTTAGACTGGCTCTTTTTGTTTCTACCATTGGCATTTGCCCTTTCTCTAGCTTCTTAATGTCCTGAACACCTCATCCTGACAAATTGTGGCTAGGTGGTTAACCCAAACAGAGCACACTTGACTTACTTGCTATGCCCGAGTCTGTGTGTCAGTCACAAAATAACAAGATGGATTCTACTAAAGCATTGCTAGAGACCTTTTCTTTAAAAAGTTTGGTTTTTAGACTCTTCAGTTACATCCATGTTTTTTTCTCAGTCTTTTTAATTTTTCTTTTCTAGTCCTTAACATTCTTTCACCCTGTGGCCTTTGAGCCTCAGAAGGCGCCTCTCTTCCATGTGCCATATAACTGACTTCCAAAGCTGGTGACATTTGATGCCCCATTTTTCACATAAAAGATTTGGTTTTTAAATGTTACTGTGATGCAAATCTACTAAAACAGTGCTTTATTTTGGCTGTAAGGTAAATATGTCTTTTGGCCTTTGTAAAGCTGTTGCATGTGGGGTTATCTCCCTCTGATCATCTGGTGCTCTTGAATACCTGCTGTTGCTGCTTTGTGATTTCTCCTAGGGTAAACATCAGCATAAAGGCAGGGGCAGATTTCAAATCCTCCTTAGTATGCAGGAGTTTGTGAGGCCACAAGAACGTATTAATTACAAATTAAGTAAACAATTAATCTTTCCAGATTTGCCATGCCAAATTAATGGTAGCCACTGAGAAGACAAACACCTGGTGGTGTCTTGATTGAAGCTGTCTTTCTGGGAGTTGAGGCCTACACAGGAAGCCTTATATCTTGGCATATTTTTTCCTTTAATACGTCATGTGCCATATGCATTTCTAGAGTCACTTTAGGACAAAAATGTTCATCACTAGCATTGCTTTAGATCTTTGAAAATTCACGCCTGCTTACTCAGATGTCATTCTGAGTATCATCCTATGATACAGGCTTTTTACTTTAGAGCAGAAAACATTATGTATCAAGATAGAAGAACAATTGATTTGTGAGAGACTTGTGGGCCTCTTCCAATATGGTATGAAATGGACTGACTAATCTGGAAATGGTTAATGATAACTACTGTAAGAATTTTTAACCTGAAATTTTTATTGGAGTCCTCTCCGTTTCTTTTCTCTGTAGGTTTGCCCAAGAGAATGGTTCTGTTACCCGTTATGAAATTCCCAACATATCCTGTTCCCCACTACTCATTCTTTTAGCAAATGACAGAAGCTCATTCCTATTGAACAACAATACAGTACAATGCAGAATGTTAGAGAAAAAGCCTTTTTATCCTGCTTTCTTTGAACACATACTTACTTGATCAAAATTATTTGTAAAGAACATCTTTCCTACTTTTTGATTTTAACAAATGCAAATTCAGTTCTCTAAAACTTGAAAACAAACAAAAGAAACCAGTTCTGTGAAACGGTACCTCATTCCTGGAAATAACTTATACCAGCCCCTTCGCTGTAGGGAAGTCTAGCAGCTCAAAGTTGACGTTTTCAGAGAGTGTCAGATTATGTAAAGTTAAATTTGTGAAGGATGTATAGAGTCTCAACACTGATCACAAATAAACTGCTTTGTTGTAACACAGAGTACTGCCTGGTTCCTGATGCAGTCACCGATTGGTAGCTGAGTGATATGTGCTTGCTCCAGGGCACTTGAATTTGGGCTGTAGTTATTTTTTTTTTTTTAAATACAGCAGAAACTTTTCATTTAAACCTTAACTTTGTAAATAACGAAGTGTGTAATTAAAGCCAATAAAATATGGGTTTGAATATTGTTTTAGCTTATTATTTTTGATATGTTTTGGTATCAAATTTCAAGGAATTGAAAACTAGTAATAATTTGGCCCTAGAAACCCATTTATTTGTAAGCAAGCTTCTAAAACAAAGCAAAGATGATTTCTCAATCTATTCATTTTGTAAGCTCTTTGTACTCCAGTTGTACAAGGGCGACCCCATGATAAGGTTACATTCTGTTATCCCAGCATTGCTTATTAAAATGATGGCACCATCTAAAGATGGGGAAGGAGGATTGTGATTATTTTAGTTTACGAATTTCCAAGTTAAAAAAAATAAATTAATCAATCACCCTCTTTTGTTCTTGTGGCCTTCTTCACTCTGTAAGACTCTGTGTTCACTCCTTGACTTTTTCCATGTGGATAGATGATTAGCAGGTTTTTTTTTTTTTTCGAATTCCTTGAAGAGTCTCCTTTCCTCTTCTTTGATATCAGAATCTAAAGCAGCAACAGGATCCCCATAAAAACTCGCTCTCTGATTGTCCCAGTTCTTGTTGAGTGCTGCTGTGAAAAGTGACAGGTTTCAGCCATGGGTCAGCATTTACTTTTAAGACACCTGATTATACTGGTGGAAACTGGGAGCCAGTAACATTGTGCTGTTCTGTAAAGGGTGCAGACCCAAGTCTTCCCCTGCATTCTCACCGTGTTTGGAAAGCTGATGATGTTACTAGAAGGTAATGGTTTCATTAAGGTACTCACCCCCATTCAGAGTGTAGTCCTCTGCAGACAAGTCACTATTCTTAAAAATGACTTAGGAAGTAAATACTTTTCTGTTAAATTCCTATTCAAAACCAAGCAGTGCCCATCACTTGACAATGGTCTTAACTAAACTTACATACCAGGCTCCTTTGGAAGCAAGCGAAGGCGAGATGAGCCTGAGGGCACAAGTGCTACATTGCTGCTCAGATGTGTATTACATAATCATTTGTTCCTTTCCTTGACCTTTGTTTTCTACTTGTGGTGGGTGATACTTTAATAAAACCTTGTCACTTGCTGAAAATAGCTTTAACTTGTCATTCTCATCATGTGTGTTAGTGGCAAGACATAATGGAGCAGGGCCCCTTTCAGCTGGGAATTTTCATGTTCATTGATTTGTTTTGCTGACCTATGGATGAAACAGAGCCATCACTGAGAAGAAAAAGCATGGCTGCTAGTGTCCAGTTTTTATTAATTAAATATTTACAATGGTCCTGTTTTTGAAATACTATTAATTGGCAGTTGCAGTTGTATTGTTATTTGAAATTGATCATCAAATTTGGACTCTAGGCTGGAATCTGCCTTGAGATTTCTCTTTAGAAAAGACTTTTGCAGTCTCTGACTGTGCTTCGTAACTCACCCCCTCTCTGATGGAGGAGGAAGCTGTGCTGTTCTCCAACATGATGGCCGTCATTTCAAATGGTTCCTACCGAGTCTTCCCCCTTTCTTCTTAATTTTGTTGTTTGTTGGAAGTTACTAACCATGTTGTAAACCTGCCCAGTTGCTGCAAACTTTTACATTTCTCTGCTTTACTTAAAACAATGGAGCTGTTGACCCTATGTTAGAATTGGTAACCATGCAAGTTCAACTGTTAAAATTCTGTAATGAATTAAGTGTCCTCCCACCTTTTGCCCTTCCCACCCTTCATTTTGTAATGAAAATTCCACTTACAGTTGAAAGAGCAGAGAAATATAAATGAAGCTCTTAGCTTCGTCCAGTTGTGTGAGATTAACGTGAAGCTCTGCTTCTCTGCTCTTTTCTCCACTGTAGGTGGTTTTTTCATTGACAGCCCCTATTGCCAGCCTCTGAGCGTCGCACCATTTATTATTCACTTGGGCCCTCAAGATTTCTTCTCTGACTTCTAGAACCATCAGGTTGTCTGGCTTGAATGACAATTTTATATCTTGGTCTTAAGAGCAATGTGACCCCTAAGGCTTTCCAGCTTTCAGAGTGGTGACTTTAACCCTTTTTGAAATTAATGACTGAGAATTTTAAAGAAGAGCAATACTTTGTCCAAAGCCACGATGTCTGTTTTAAAGCTCTCCTTTTGGACATGTAGCAATATCTAGATGTAAGCCCTTTAATGTAGCTCTTGTCAGGGAGTTTACAGATCAATGTAGAATTTAGAATCTGTGTGAGCTGTGCTATCCTCTGATACTTTTGAATCGTTTTTAGCACATAACTAGAGCTTTTACTTTTCTGACTGTGCCAGCTAGCAGTATTATAATTCTGAGACAGGTGTCCTCCTTAAGCCATATCTTTTGGTGGGGGCTGGCGCTTTACCAGAGGTGTAGCTGGCAACCTGTGTCCCTTAAGGCTGCAGGAGTGCCACATCTCTTTTGCCCCATAATGGCTCCATAGATTTCCAACATACCTCATGCTGATGAGGTTCGGTGCATAGTATGGCAAAATAAGGGATTGGGTTTAAGTAGCTCCTGAAATTGTTTATAATCTCTCAAACTGTTACCCTTGGGGATGAAATACTTAACAATTTTGCTTGGATTAGCATTTTATTTTTCATCTTCTTTTTTTTTTTTTTTTAAAAAAATGTGTGAATGTTTGAAAATCATGAATCAGTCACCGTAGTTAATTGAAGAGCTGGGAATAATCTTGTTAATGTATTTTTAAAACTGGTGTTGGACCCTCTGTGTATTTCAGGTTAATACTTTTAAGCAGTTTTCAGCACGTTTATCTCACTTTATTCTCGTTCTCCTCGGACCTCCGTAGCCATATCACTTGTATAAAATAGGCTGAGATATAGTGACTGTAAGCTGTGATCTCAGTATTCAAAGGTAAGCTCTTTTATTTTCTGATTAAAGAAAACAATAACCAATTAACACAACCTGCATATATGACAATCATATGATGTATTTGATCTCTTAGGTCTTATGTCACTGCATTAACTTTAAATTTTTATGGTCTAAATGTAAAATAGTAATTTCCACATTTGGTTTAATACTCTTGTAAATGCTTTATATTCAAGAGAAACATTTCACATTCACTGAGTCAAGTGTATGTGGGTAGAAATATAGGATATAATGTATATGTAATTATACATACAGAAGCACCTGTTTGAATATAATAATTCAGTTGTAGGAGCACTATCTAAGGAGAATTAAAATGACAGGGCACACTCTTGTTCAAGGAACTAGGATATGGGAAGTAGTAATGCTGGTAACATGCTGTAGAATTCATGTGCGTTTGTTGCACAGGCTGAGGGGTACAAGTGCCAATCTCTCTAGAAGAAGATAACCTTCTCTGACCTGTGTTGCATGCTCCAACAGCAATAGCAAGAAGCCATTAAAAAAAAAAGCAATAGAGAATCAAAGACAAAACTAAAAACTGTGGGAAATACATGTAATTGGCTGAGTTAAGCTAATTATTTGCAGAATCAACTTGAACAAGACTCAGACATGCAAATACTGAGTCTGCAGAAACCAAATCTGCTTAAGGAATCTCTGTCTGTCTGTCTTTCTGTCTGTCTGTCTGAAGTTAGGTAGCTGGAATATTATTTCTCACTGTATTCAGTCATGAACAGAGTTCATTTAAAGGATGTAAGGATTAGATCAAACCTTACCCCACAAATACACCTCATTATGTTGTTATGTGCTAAAGCTGTGTGTGTGTGTGTGTGTGTGTGTGTGTGTGTGTGCGCGCGCGCGCGCACGCGCACTTGCTTGCTTGCTTGCTTGCATGTATGTATGTATAAATGGATTTTATGTTTTACATTTCTATCTATAGCAGTTTCTGTTCATCTCTAGCATTAAGGCTGCTGGAACTTTGTTCCCACACAGAACCTGCAGTTCATGAGGTCAGCTTCTGTGAAAGGCTGTACAAAGCAGAGCAGAGAAGTGCAGTGCACTGCAGTCCTGTGCCTGCTGATGCCAGGTCCTTTTTTATGGGACCAGGGAATAGAGGCTCTGACCAGTGGAAGCATCTTAAGTCTAAAAGTTCCTTTCTAGTGAAATTGGCCAGGTCACCCTACTTTGGGAGATAGTATACTGACAGTGGGAAAAGTTATTAATTCATTTAGTAGCTTAATTATAAAATACTGGTATTTTGTAGGCTTTTCAACACCACAAAATTGGTGTTACCTGAGGATTTCCTCAAGGAGCATATTTCCCTGGCATTCTTGAGGGCCCGAACTTTGCTGTGGTTATGCTACTCATGTTCTGTCCGAATGTGTGGTCAGAAAATGAGAAGCTCAGTACCACTGGTTTTGGCAACTCTTTGTATAGTCCTACAAAGAACTCAGTGGGAAATGTAAGTCCTGACTATATTCTTTCAATGGTGTTACTGTTATAAGAAATCACTTGCTATAATTGTCCTAGTTTTTATTTTTCACTAATGATAGGAGTGGAGGGAAAGAGTCAGTACAGTACTAAGTTTAGGAAAATGAGCTAGACATGTTTTTCTTCACAAGCTGTTTGGAGCCTGTAACCATTGTAAGCGGAGTTACTTGGGAAAGCAGCCCACTCTGAATGGTCTGCCTTTTATTTCCACTCTTTTAATGCCTCCTCAAGTCACTCAGAGACAGAAAGATGCCATGGCATTCTGCCTTGTTTTCTGCAACATCTGGTATCATACAGCTAGGGATCATGGTTCCTTAGTGTGACTAGGAGGCTTGGGGAGGGATATTGGTGGGATGTCAGTGATAACAGCAGACCTGAGTACCTGCTTTCTTGATGAGCTTCAACACCAGTGTGTGTTTCTTTACCACCTAACTTACAGAGTACAGTACAGCCCATTTAAGATGAGCTCCCCTTTTTGCAACAGTATTTTACAGAAAGACTGTTGTAAAGAAAGAATCATGTTGGATTAATTATATAAATAAGTATCCTTTTCCACATACCATTATTTCAGTTAGGAGCTAAGAGCTTTAATTAATGTTTCAAGTAGTGATCTTTGGAAGTTTTTAAAAATAGAACCATAATGTACATTTGAGTTATATAAGATTTACAGCACAGCTAGAGATATAGAACATAAACCATATGAGAATCTAGGCCAAAGCATTTCTCTCACTCCAGCCCATTTTCGTGTAACTTGGATATCTCATGACTTTATATATTCAAAGCATTTAATGGTACCTGGTACACAGCAAGTACTCTGTGAATGCTGACTCTGCTGTTGTGGTTGAGGTATTAGGAAGGATGTCAGGGAGGTGAGGCTATGCTGGTTAAACAGCAGGTGCGTGGCCTGCTCAGGGTCGAGTTGGGCTTACTCCTTTGTGCTCATGGGCTTGGGCAGCTTCCAGGCTGAGGCCAGACTTGGCAGAACAGATTTGCTCATATTTCTGCTGCAGAGTTAAATCAACCAACTTGCAGCCCAGGGTTTGTAAATACTTGTTTAGGATTTATGGGTGCTTAGAATTTCACAAGGGCTGAACTTAGACCATCTACCTGCCAATTGAAGTTTCCTACCCACACTTTAGTAATAAAAAATCTACAATGGCCAGAATCTAGTTTTCAAGGCTTGTGTGTTTGTTGGTAAAGAACAAGTTATTATAGGAAGCATACTTAGAATGCTGTTGACTCATTTTCTGTGAAGAGTTCTTGTACCTTGTTTGATGCTTGGACATACTGGAACACATCTGTACTCATCAGCATATGTTGCCTTCCTTCTATCTGATAACTCTTAGGGCATTATTAGTCTATTTCTGTCTGTATCTGTTTATCTGCTTATTTGGATACAATTGGGAAGTTTCTGTTTAATACAAGGATAAGTGAGTTGATGGTGAAGTTGCTGCTGCTCAACTGAATACAGGGCTTGTATCTCCATGGAAGCGCTGGCTCACACACGCTGGCAAAGACGTGATCTCAGAAGAAGAAGAGGGTGGACAGGTTGAGTCCCAGGTTGGTAGGAGGTGAGTTACATGGAAACATAGATTAAATTCTGAGATGTTGTAATTTTAGAAAAAACTGTGGACATGGATTATCTTTAAGGAGGCCAGTGAGTTAGACTCATGTTACCTAGTAAAAGTTACTGTATTTCTGCTTAGCTGAAACTGTTGATAGGTTCTTCATCTCACTTAGCCAGCGTCTGAAGAAAGGCTCTTAATGTAGGCATGCATGCACACACACCAACAAACTATTCCTGCCAATAGCAACAACAGTCTAAAAAACCAAACTACAACAAAAGCAACCTTGACCAGTGATCAGAGGAGGATCATGGCCTTTTCTTTCTAGAACTTTACTATTTGTGCAAGTGGCTGTATTGCCTCACAAAGGGTGTTGAAAAGATTGTCACCATTGCAGTGAAGAATGGTCCATGTCTTCTCTTTGCTGCTGCAGGGCCATCAGTGGCTCATGGTCTCAGCACAGTTGCAGTTAGGACATTGCTGGCCCCCTTCTTTGTTCGAGATTCTCCTTCCTAGTTTCCTTTGTATGACTAACTGTCCCAAATAGTTCAGTTAATGGCAGGCTTTGTGTAGAACTTAGGCTTGGCCAACATTTTGACATTTCAACATATTGTCATCTACAGTGTTCATGTGACAACTGTATAAAATTGACAAACTATTTTGGGGTCAGGAAGAACTATTTTGTAGTGTGAGTAGCAGATTTAAGAAGCCAGAATGGGAATGTGGAAGGAACATTGCTAGTATTGGTGTTGTGGTCATGTGTGACACTGGGACATTCTTAATTCTCAGGCAGCTCTCTTGGAGGTGCTGTTAATTTCTGATCTAGACATGAATCTAGTGGTCAGAGTAAACTGCTAGAGTCAGGGATGAGTCCCATCTGTTTTTTTGTACCAAAGCTCCTTTCTGCTCAGCAGGCTACAACTTATAAGGCAGGAATGAAAGCTGGCCTGATTTCTAGGCCTCCTGTATTAAGCATATTTCTGAGCAGAACAGAATACCTTGAAGTACAGGGATTTTTGCTTTTTTTGGGGGGGAAGGGGTCACTGATGATAAAAGGATATCTAACAAATAGAGGATGAAGAGAAAGTGGGCTGTTTGACAGAGAAAGCTTTTGTGTCTAAAGCTTGTTCTGTTTGGATGAAGTAACAAGAGGCTGGGTATCTGTTTTCATTAGCTCTTCTTTCTGGGAATTTCGTTTCTTTGAGAAATGTGATGGTAGAGTTTGAGGGTTTGCTCATGGAGTCTAGTATAGAGAGGTAGACCTGTTCAGGTGTAGTAAGATAGCACATGAAAAGACTCATGCTGAGTGCTAGGCACGTGACAGTTTGGAGTGTGAGTCTTCCCTTCATCTTGGGCCCAGGGTTTAGTGAGCATGACTTGAGAGCTGCAGGGTCTGTGGAGATATTTGTGTCTCACCATGTTGGCTTGCAGGCTACTTCCCAACTTCATCACCAATTGCTTAGGGGCAGGAAGATGTGGGGATCCCACCTTGCCCAAGATTCTATCTTTGCCAACAGACACTTTTTCTGCAAAGCATCCTGTGTTCCATTGGGGAATTGGAAGAAATACTCATATTCTAACCACATTCCAGAGCTGATCATAGTGTGAAGGAATGAGAGGTCTGGATAGGACACAGAGTACTATAGAGCTCTCTCATGTTCTGTGGTCCATTTCTAGCTCTGAGTTCTGGAGTAGTGATGCAGGGAATATTGTTTTTCATGGAAAACCCCAGAGGTCTTTGCAAACCACCTTGCTTGTTTGTGGCAAAACACTGTGGCTTCTAATTAGTGAGTATTGAGCCACACAGAGGAAATTATATTTCTGTGCTGCTCTGGGAGTTAGCAGAAACTCTAGTAGGAATTGCTTTTGAATCTTGCAACTGAAGGACCTAGAAGTTTGCTCTTATTAGGAAAGGGCCTTAAGTAAAGTGACTTT